AGTAACGGCTTCATTTCCTAGATTCGATCGCTGCAGTGTTTTCTGTGCAGTTGCCAGGTGCGCGTGGAATTGCGGTGGTGGGAGCGCAGTAGCCTGTGGTGGACTAATTAGCACTAATCATGCTCCCCATCACCATGGGGCTGCTCACGTTTAAAGAAATGCCCCTGAGCTGCTTCCCGCCATGGGCTGCCCCGCTCGCAGCAGCCAGCTTTCCAGCACTGCCGTCCAGTGGTGATAGAAGTCCCTCAGCCTCACAGGAGCTGCCTCTCTGGAATGGACAGCTGGCACTGGTCACGACTGGCACCAGTCCCACCATCTGTGCTGGCAGCACAGAGGACAGGTGGGGCCGTTGTGCCGGGGTTTGGGGGAAGGTGTGTTTGAGCTAGCAGAGAGCCAGGGCATGCACTAATTAGAGGCCTGCAGAGGCTGTGGCCGCTGGCGGTGGGCGGGCCACAGGGGCCTTCCAGAGGGTGGGTGAGGTCGCCGGCTGAGCTGCAGGGTGATGGACATGCCTGTTCCAGGGCCCTGCTCTGCAGCCATCTCCTCTCCCCACGCTTCCTCCTTTCCACTTTGGAGCTCACCACAACCAGAAGGGTGCTGTAATAATTCCTTTCGAGACAAAAACCTTTTTATTTTAAAGGAAAAAAAAAGCCAACAGCAGCAGCAGAAACCCCACATAGCCATAGCAATGCAGGGTTTCAAGGGTTCTTCCCGGCTTCCCTGTGTAGCCCAGGCTGGCCTTGAATTCATGGTGATCCTCCTGCCTCAGCCTCCCGAGTGCTGGGATGACAGTGTGCACCCCACGCCCAGCCGAGAGGGCGTTCTTGAAGGCTGAGACAGCAAAGAGTGACGAGGCACCGGTGGAGCAGTGGGCTTTCATTAGCTGGGGTGCAGGCAGGGAGCTGGGCAGTTGGGGGCCCAAGCGGGAGGTGTAGGAAAGCCTCTCGGTCTCTTTTCTTCCACAGGAAGTAGGCTATGGCCCAGGGAGAAGGGATCCAGCGAGGCATTCGAAGCTCAGGAAAGAGGAGTGCAGAGGAGAGAGCCCTTTGGGGAACAGCAAACATCCCCCCAGGGATGAGGGACTGCTTGGCGGGGCCACGGACACGGTGTCATCCCGGCTCCCTCCCGGAGTGGCTCCCAGTTACTTCCCTGGGTTCTGGGGTGTTCTCTCCCTCTGGAGTTAGATTCCAGGTTCTTCTTGTCTTAAACAAAGAATCTAACTAAACAGCAAAAACCTGCGGTAAAATTTATTTGAAAAGGTAAAAGTGGAGCGGGAGAGATGCAGATTGAGCTTGGGCCGTGTGAAAGAGGAAAGTGCAATCAGAGGCACCCTGGAGGAGGCAGGGGGGGCCTCCAGGAGCAAAGCCGCCAGGGCGAGCGAGCGGGTGGTGCTGCGTGCTCCTGCCGTGCGTGCCTCTCCATCCGGGTCCAGAGGGGCAGCGCTGGGCCCCTACTGAAAGCCTCTGCTGGAGTTCTTCGGGTGGTCCGCTTCCGGGGACCCCGTGTGCTTATGCCTGTGGGGTTGTGTAATTCACACACCATGCCCACCTCTCCAGCCAGTGTACCACGCCCTGATCTCCTATCTTGGTGGAGGTTTGTGGTCTTAAGTTAAAACCACTTAATTTCTGTGTTTTCTCCAACCATGTGGGGTGCAGGCTATCTGGGGAGCTGGGATTAACAAGGGAGGACTGACCCGCAGGGCCCAGAGAGGTTGGTTCCAGCTTAATGGTGTATGTGGGAGCTTTGTCGGCGTGGGCAGTAGTTACTGCAGCAGGACCCTGGACCAAACACCTGCAGCGACCTTCTGGCTCACAGGGCAGGCCAGGGGCACGGAGGGCCTTCCCAGAACTGTCAGAGTACTCTCTGCATGCCAGGTTTGGGGAAGACCAGACAGACCAAGCCTTTCCAAGGATGCATGGGTTTAGACGGTAGTTATTATTAAGGACTTGGAGATGTAGACCAGGGAGGGAGAGTGACACCAGGAGGGGATCTGAAGTCCTCCCAGAGGACTCCCAGAGGGTGTCACACCCTCCCAGAGGGTGTCACACTTCACATGAGTTTGGAAGGACTGGCCCTCAGGGAGGGAAGATCACTTTAGAGCAGGGAGGATGAAGTGGGCCAGCCAAGAGATGGAAGGCGTGGGATTAGCACCAGGATTGGGAGGGGAAGCTCTTCCTTAGCCCAGGGACAATGTGGTTAACATTCCTGATCTTGCTTTCATCAGAGCTCTCAAAATCAGTGTCACTGCTGTTAGTGCACAGTTTCAAGTCAAGTGACCAGAATACCCGTAAGGCTGTATTTGCCGTTGTACTGGGGATTGAACCCGAGGTCTCTGCACTGAGCCCCACCTTAGCTCTGTTTTTCATTCTTTATTTTGAGACGGGGTCTCACTGAGTTGCTAAGTGGCCAGGCTGGCTCAAGTGTACCGTCCGTCTTCCTGCCTCAGCCTCCTGGATTGCTATAGGAGAACTATTCCTCCCCATGCTAGACATCAGACTGCCAAATTCTCATGCCCTGAAGAGTGAGTTCCAGAGGACAGAGGAGGTCAGCAACCTTGGGGACTGGGAATAGCTCCTGAGGGACAGGAGGAGTCCTGAGGGGGCGATGTCTCCGAGAATGTTTATAGGGCAAAACCAAGAGATGGGTCCAGCTGTAACAGATGGTACGATTACAAGTCCAGTCACTTAGCCAACAGAAATAGGAGAAAGGGCGCATAGCCAGGGCGTACAGATGACACCTGTAACCTTGGCTTATCCAGGACTATGAAAAGGACATTTTGGGAAGGGATGGGTCCAGGTAATCTGGGCTTGATGCATATCTGGGTGGTACCAATTACAGGATAACATCAACTTCCCATCCATCCCTTAGGGAAGTACGTAAGCCTTTCCGTTGTGATTTCATTTTACTTAGAGACAGGGTCTCACTACGAAGTTAAAGTTGGCCTCCATCCTCCTGCCTCAGCCTCCCAGGTACTGGAATTATAGGCATGCGCCACCATGCTGGGCCGTGTGCCTTTAACCTCCAGGCCTCGCCTTAATGGACCACCTACAAGCCACAAGTCTGATATCTACGAGAGCCTGCCCCTCTCTGACTGAATATTAATTTGTGTGTGTGTGTGTGTGTTTCCAGACAGGGTCTTACTGTGCAGCTCAGGCTGGCCTTGAGCTTACTTACTTTGTAAGCGAGGCTGGGCTTGTAGCTCAGGCTGCCTCAGCCTCCTGAGTGCGGGGATTACAGGTGTGCACCACAAGGCCCGGCTGTATATTAACTTTTATCTAATTGAGCTGCCTACGGGATGACAGGCGTAGCCCACCACATCCCATTTCTAAGCTGTGCTTTAAAAGCCAGCTGGATTCGCATTATGCTTCAGAATAAGGCGCTGCGGCCCTGGGACTGGGCTGCTAGCTACAGAGTAAGTGAGGGAGGGTGAGTAGCAGCTGCGCTCAGATGACCCAGGAATAAACTTCCTGCCCTGCTGAGTCGTCCAGGCTGGGCTGGGATTGTGATCGTCCTGCCTCAGCCTCCTAGAGTGCTGGAACAACATGTGTGGGCCACCACTGCTGGCTTCTTGACACCCTAATTGCAGTTTCCTGGGCGCTGACACCAGGCTGACCACTCTTTTGGGGCCCCTGGATTAGGGCACTCAAGGAGCTGGGTAGTAGCCACCAGGTCAGACGCTGTACATTTGGCTCCTGGCCGTGCAGCCTTCTGGCTGGGTGCCCGTCCGGGCGGCGGCACCTGGAGTTGGACATAGGAGTGGAACGGAACCGGGTCGCTGGAGAGGTGAGGTGTGTGGTGTGTGTCACTTCGTGGGAGGATTAGTCAGGATGTGCTGGGCATTTCTTTAAGAACTCAGTAAGTTCCTCTAGGGAATTGCCCGGACCGTAGGGCAGTCCGTCCGGGTCCCCACATAGCTCGCTAGGGCACAGCGGGGTTTCTAGGACTAACCCCCCAGGTCCCACAGGCGCCACGGACACTGGAAGGTCGCAGCGTGCGCAGGTGACCTCGGTGACCGCGGCAGGTGGCCCAGGGTATCTGGGTTCCCGAAATTGTTCCACGGGGAGGGCGGGGGCTGGGCGGCGCGCGCACCGCAAGTTTTGCTTTGTCACCCTGACTGCGTGTGCCAGAGCCCGCCCCCGCCGCCGTGTGGGGCGGAGCCTGCAGCGGCCTTTAGGCGGGATCGCCGGCCCGCGAGCAGTCGGCGTCCGGCCGGGACCCGGCCTAGGGCCTGAGTCGGAGAGGGAGCGGGAACCTTGTGCGTCCGCGGAGCCCAGTGCAAGCGCAGAGAGGCGAGGTCGTGGGGACGCGCACGGAGGGCACTGCGGGCCAGGTACACCGGCCAGCTCTCGGTGAGTGAAGTTCAGGGTGGCCCGCGGGGCAGGTGGCAGTCAGCAGGCTGGACCTCTCTGTGCGGGGCGTGCACCCCAAACGGGCCTAGCCAGGAGCACAGATCTCTCTGTGCGGGGCGTGCACCCCTGGCCAGGAGCGCAGGCCAGGGCGGGTCCCCGCGCGCCGATTTGATCCTCAGCTCGTATGTGCCTTGGTTTCCACCGTGCGCGTGGGCCGGCATAGTGGGGGATGTAGCACCGAGGTACGCTGTCTGGCTTCTAAGTGGCCGCCACACGTTCCCGCGGTGCAGAGTCTGAGGCGGGAGCAGATCCGGGCGCTTTGTGCGCAGCTCCTCTGTGGAACACGTCCGAGATCCTGGCGGACTGGCCGAGCAGGGCGGCTCTTCGGCGGAGACTGGCCGGTTCTGCCGTGGCGGGAGCAGAGATGCCGAGGTTTCCTGCCAGCCTCCGGGCCCAGTTTCAAGATTGCGTGCTTGCTTGCCGGCCGGCGTCCTTGTTGCCGGGGGCGCGCGGCCACGCCGGAAGCCCCGCCCATGGGGGGGCGCACGCAGCCTTTTTGTGCGCAGAGGTGCTGGTCAGGGAGTCTGGGAGGCCTAGTAAAGGGGTCGGACCCGTGGTCAGCTCCGGCCGAGCCCGGCAGGTAGGACAGCGACGCGGGCCGAGCAGGGGACGCCCTGAACACCCTCGGGAGCCGTAGGGGAGCCCCGGGCGCGGCGCACGTGTAATGGGGCTGAGCAGAGCCCTGGGAGGTGGAAACTGTTCCACGGCGAGGGCGGGGGCCGGGCGGAAGGAAGTGCCAGCCCGTCTTTATCTTTCAGGGTTACCTTTCCACAGTGTCCTTCGGGCCTCGTTTTCCCTTCCTCCTCCCCTCCCAGTTAGTACTGGAACGGGTTAGCACCATGTGACGAGCTCAGTGAGCTGCTTAGGCAGTGCTGAGGCTTCCTTTGTGACTCCCCCGAAGGTGGGGTGCTCAGACACCCCGGGCTCCCAGGAGAACACCCAGGAACCGCTGGGTGAGGTCGCTTCCCACCTGCTGCTTTTCTCAGGTGGTGGAAAGGGGAACCCTTTTCTCTGGACGCCGCCTTGGCAGCCCTCCTGGGTCATCCCTGCGGGCAATGAGCAGCGGGTTACCCCAGCTCACCCGGGTGCACCTGTTCTGGGGGTCACAGCTTCTCTCTCTGTCCCTACTGTCCGTGTAATCTCTGAGAACGGGAAGATTGCTGTCTTAGAGCGCGGCCTGCAGCCTGGGTGGATTTAAAGATAGATTTAGATGTGTGCACCCTTAGGAAAGTTATTTATGTTTATTCACATTTTTATTTACTGTCTCTTTTTTTGCTTCTGGAAGAATCATATTTATCTTTTTGAAGAATGAGTGGGAAATGGGACTAGATTTGAAAGACTTAGTGAGTTAATAGGAGATAAGAAAACTTTAATTGTGTTACTCAGAAGTTTAATTTGCAAGTAATACGAGACGGAGGCCTATTAATGTTTCTTTGTGCCTGATGAGATTACTTCTCTTTCCTAATGAATTATACAGACATTTAATAATCCTGTTGATGTTGCTGGTTTTGAATGTCAGTGGGACCAAAAAGAATCACTTTTTATAAGCCTCAGACTTTTATTGCTAAGATCTGACGTTTGATTTTTTTTTTCTGTGCTGGGTTGTTGACCCCAGGGCCTCATGCATGCTCATCAAGTGTGCTCTGCCACTGAGGGCCAACCCCAGCCCCCCCCCCCGATTTTTAGTTTTGGTTTTTTTGAGACCAGGTGCATGCCCCCCCCCACACACACACAGTGTCGTCATTGACCACCTGCTGTTGTCACAGCAATCCTGCCTCCTGCGTGCTGGCATTACAGGCATGTGCCGCCATGCCTGGCGTAATATTTTAGTTTCTAAGGCAAGATTACAAGTGTTCTTCTAGGGAACCGCCTGCCTTACAGGTGTCTGGGCATCTGCAGGATTCCAGTTTTGAAACAGCTGGTGTGGAAGGTGGCACTAAGGAAGGGTCGGGCAGGTGTGCCAGGCCTTGGCTGGCTGCTGTGGGCAGAGGCAGGACTGAAGCGCGTGGCATGGGACTCAAGTCATTTTCTACGGCGGCAGTGATAGAGGACATGACAGCCACAGCCTGTGGGAGACTGGTCCAGCCTTGGTGGGAGGCAGTGAAGCAGAGTCATCTCCCGCCACCGACTGAAGTCACTGCCAGCGGCTCCTAGCAGCTCAGCACCAGCCTCCCTGCCCACAGGCCACAGGGTGTCTTCTGGTTCCCGCTTTGTATCGTTTTTTTGGTGCAGCTGCAGTATAGCAGAGGCCTGAGGCGGGTACAGGGCTCCCCTGGCTCACCTCAGAGGGAGAACGCGCTCAGGCAGAGCCGCCAGGGGCTGCCGGTCACGAATCCAGAAGGGAACCCTGGTGACCCAGACAGCCTCTGCACTGCCCTTTCACGGTGGCCCCCTGCTCTGCACAGGTGACCCTGAAGACGGGGGATGGCATCAGCTGGCCGTGCAGTTGGGAAAGTGGGGATCTCGGTCAGAGGGGCCAATCTGGGTCACGCTTCCTGGCCCTGGCTTTGTGGTGCTTCCCGGGTGAGGGCTGTGTGGGTGGCCTGCCTGCTGCTCCTGGCAGGTTCCCGCCTTTGGAGTGAGCGGGCAGCACTGTACTGCCCTGCACGGTGCCTGCCGCCCTGAGAACAACACAGCTTTCCGGCTCTCCATCCCTGCCTGTGCAAGCTGGTGTGGAGCGGGCCGCTTTGGGGTGGGACCTGAGCTCTGCAAGCCCAGCTGTGCAGGGCAGCTTCTCCGCAGGAGCTGGGTGACAGCCATGCAGGCCAGCGCCTCTGGTCACCTGGCACCGAGTTGCGTGGGCTCGGGAAGGGGCAGGATGGGCTGCCTGCAGCCTGTCTGTTGGTGCCCGGTCCCACAGGCTGGAACAGTGTGCATACCTGTGTCATGGTTGTGTCTGAACCTTTTTTAAAAAGTGTCACCAATACTGTAAGGCAAGTGAGATGAGAAAACCGACAGACACCGAGGAAAGAAGGTGGAGCTCGGAAAGCGCGCTGTTACTTGAACCTGGCCCCAAGTGCACTCCTAGAACAGCCACCCCAGGGCCTGCCCAGTCTCCTGGAAGTCCGTTCATTGCTGACCGAGGCCCCAGGGCCGTCCTAGCTCCTGCCCGGGAAGCCTCTGTGCTCCCCACCTCACCCTGGAGGTGTGTTTGTGGCTTGGCACAGGTGTCCTGAAGCATGCGCCTCGAGTGAGGGTGGTGGCCGTCCTTACCCTGAGCTCCAGCGAGTGGAGCGGCTCCACATGATGGCCTGTCACTCGGGGTAGGGGCTCTGCTGCCATCACTGGCCCGGCCCTGGCTGTAGTCCCAGGTGGAGCTCTTCCCTGGCACAGGGTGGGGCTGCGATGGGGAGGGGGTCCTGAGGCCCTTCCCAAACACTGCAAGTGACAGTAACAATGACAGGGCCTCTTCCCTGAATGACCAAATAGCTGTGGATGCTGCAGTTTTTAGGGTTCTGCTTACATCAGGGAGCCAGCCATGAGAAAAACCAACGGGAAGCAGTCCTGGTGTAAACTCGGACTCCGGCTCGGTGTGGGGCTGGTGCCTGCAGAGTTTGCCCTTCAAAAGGGAGTATTTTTGTTACTCTATTTAAATTTAAGCATAATAGGTATAAGTGTTTGTTATGCAGCAGATACCCTTTCACTGTATTTTCGTGGTGGGACCTATCTGTTCCTCCTCCCTAAGCTGACCTGCCCATATGTATATGTGTTTGTTCCTAAAGCCAGGCGTGAAACTACTGGTTTGCTCCCAAGCTTTGCTTTTCAGTATTGAGTGTTTATTAAACACTCGGCCTGTGGGATGGTTTGTGATTTAGGAAGCACCCACGCACGAGCTGGTGCCCTTGCTGCACCTCACAGATCCCAGGTGGGTGGCGGGGAGAAGGGACAGGCCTGCAGGGAGGGTGAGGACACCGGTGGAGCTCAGCTGTCAGACCTCCTTCCTGGTTTGCCTTGCAGTGAGCCCGGTGCAGAAGCTGGGCGCCTGGCGAGTCCTTCCCTGGCTGGGCCTTGGGGTGACCCTGTTGGGTAGAGAGCAGCAGGGGCTGTGAGAGGGAGCCTAAGAATGCTTGGAGTGCGCCGATGGGATAGAGCTGTGCTGAAAAATAACACAGGAGGGGCAGTGGCTGCCAGGCCTGGGCAAGAAGGGACAGGGCTGCTGTAGGGGCTGGGCTGAGGAAGTGGACGGCAGCTTGCAGTCCTGTTCATGGCGTAACGTCACACCGTGTTCTGCCTTGGCGTCTTCTAAAGTTGTATTTAAGTAATAAGTGGACCTTAGGTTAGAAAATCACTTTTAATGATTTAAAGATTCACAAATCTAGCAATCTCACTTTTAAGTGATTTGGGAGACCCATTAAACTCGAGATGTTTTACTTGGCAGCAGTACTGTAGTCTCATGGCGGAAAGGTGGCTTTTCAGGGGTAGGACGTGAGGCAGGAGTCCGAGGGTGAGCTCTGTCTGTGTCCCCGAGTTTCCAGGACTGGGATCCAGTGGAGCACAAACTCTGGCTGTAGGGCGTGGTCCAGTGCTGTGTGAGTCAGTGGGCTGTTAATGCCCCACAAGCCCTGCAGGTGCTCTTAGTGATCCTTCTGGGGGAGCTGGGAGAATCAGTGTGTTTTCCAAAACAGTTTGAAATTGTTAGATGAAAGGCTCACAGGGAGCAAAATGTATTGGCCCTCCTCCTCCTGGAGTCAGGAGGCAAGGGCGTGGCGGCCCCTGCGGTCTGGAGCTCTTTTATTGATGGCTTTTATTATTATTGTATTTAAAATGAATATCCTGAGCTCCTGAGATTGTGGCCCACTGGAAAATGAGACCTTTGGTTTAGAGTTTGGAATTCTTCCTCTGTTTTCACCACAGATTTAAAACAGGTTTTTTTTGTTTTTTTTTTTTTTTTTTTTATTGTTGCTTTTGGTAGCAGGGATCAAATTTATGTGCTTGCCAGGCAGGTGCTGTGCCCCTGAGCTATATTCCTGACCCTTAAAACAGGTTTAAATGTCAGTTTGAAACAGGCCGGACTGGGGGAGAACGTGGCCTTTTCATGATCCCGGGTCTCAGCTTTGTGCGTGTGGTATCTCAGAGGGGTTGCAGTTAACTTTACTTTCAGGATCTGTGACTTCTGTGAAATTAATCTTTGCTAACATCTTGCAGTAAGTACTGGATCCAAGTCATAAATGTAGATTTATGGGGTCATCGCATACTGCAGTGCATCAGTGTCATAAGTAAGTATGTTTCGGGGGCTGTGTTTGAAGATTTAAAACCAAGTTTTTGCCTTTGAGACTCTCCCAGTCTGTAATGAGCAAGATGCTACAGGGTGTGCCCACACAGGTGACCGTAATGTGCTGCGGGTTGACGAAAAGTGGGTTTTGTTTCTTACTTATTTTCTTTAGAGACAGGGTCTAGCTGTAGTAGTTTAGGCTGTCTTTGAACTTGTAGCCCAGGCTGGCTTTGAACTCACAGAAGTCCTTCTGCCTCAGCCTCCTGAGTGCTGGGATGACAGATGTGGGCCACAACACACACGGCACACCTACTTTAAAAACCAACTGTGGTTATATTGTGACATAGGGTTTTGGAGGAACAAATGCGAGGTTTTGCTTTATGTGCATTTGCAAGAGATTTTCTGTCAACGTCAAAGAAAAATGACCCAGTGTAGATGCACCAGTCAGGGAAGAGGCTGTCACCACTCCCTGCCACACCACATACGGGTGCAGTGTGTCCTGCGTGCTTTTCTTCCGGAGGGACACCTGCTGCAGCCATGAAAGCTTTGCTCTGGTCTGCTGCAAGCCATGGTTGCTTGCCTCTGCTGAGGGCCTGCAGAGGTTTTGTCCCAATATCTGCGCAGAGGGCCACCTCTCCTTGCAAGAACACTGGGTGCGGCGGAACCCGGCTTTTGAAAACAAAACAAGCGGCGGGTGGGGGGCGGGGTGGTGCATACCTGTAATCCTAGCGCTTTGGGAGGCTGAGGCAGGAGAGCCACTAGCTCGAGCCTGGCCTGGTCTATTTGGCACCTTAGATCTTTCTCAAAATAAAAAACAGCGGGAGTCAAATGAAACTACTCTTCCTTTTAAAAACGAAAAGAGAGGCTGAGCATTTTAGCTCAGCGGCATAAGCACCTGCCTGACAAGCACAAGTCGTGAGATCAATCCCAAGTACCAAAAAAAAAAAAAAAAAAAAAATCTAAAAAACAAAAAGAGAAATGGCCTTGGGACAGAGGGGGTTCAGTGTAAAGGACGAGGGCTCCATGCTCAATACCAACCAAACACCTCCTCGTAATGAGGCGAGAGCTGACGGGAGGAATGTTTCAAGGCGCAGGACTCTCGAGACTGCCACAGGTTGTGTAGATGTGTTTCTTTAAAGTAGAAATCCCAGCTGTCCCTTTTTAAAAATTTTTAAAAAATTTTTATTTAAAAGAAAAAAGAGAAAAAAACAAAACAAAAGAAAGCAGTGTAAGGGTACAATTAATACAGAACTACAAAAAAAAAAAAAAGAAATCACCAGTTAATAGATTACAATTATCATCCTAGAGACAGTTGCTCAAGTCACAGTATCAAAGCATACAAAGTGGACACTCAAACAGTGAGACTGCAAACAGTTGTGTTCAATGATCCAGCCAAAAACATTAATATGGGCATCTATTTAACACCCCTAAACACACTTGCAGTTGTATTCTTTAGAGCACTTTTTTTTCCTTTTTTACAACAAAATTTACACATTTTGGGTTTTATTACTCCTTAGTTCTTATTACTTTTTTTTTTGGAAGAGAATAAAGTCAAATATGGCAAAACAAAGCTGTCAGTCAAAACCAAGGATAGACATAGCACATGATGTAAAAACAGAGTTACAAGGTTATCGACAATGGTTACCATAATGCCTCTTGCTTCCTTAAAAAGAATTGTCTATCTCATTAGGTATTATAAAGTTGAACAAAACAGTAGAGAACAAGACCAATAAAACCTAAACCTTGTAAACACTACAGGACTTCCAAAGAAGGTAATAGTCAAACCAGAATGGGCATCATAGTGAATCTTATTGCCTTCAAAGTAGTTGCCTATACCTTCCAAATTGATACTACCCTACAGAACGGAACAGAGTCTAATCAGTCAAAACAAGATAGTGGGAGTATTACAGGCCTTCAAAGCAAGTTAATAGGAAATCAAAAAAGTTACTATAATATATCCTGCTAATTTTTTTGATTTTCCCCCTTAATTAAAAAAATCATAAAAAATAACTAAATAATTTTTTTAATGAATAAGGGAGAGATTGAGATAAAAGAGGACATAACATCATAATAGTACAGGTCAAAGCATGACAGTTTCAGCAACCTAGTGCTTCACCACTAAATAACCCTGTTTAATAATAGTTACCATAGTGTCTTTTTCCTTGAAATATTTGAATATAACTTCATATACTATAGCTTCAAACATATCAAGTCAGTGTAAAGCCATTCAAGTGGATGAAAGCATTGTAGGGCTTTTAGAACCAACTAACAAACAATGATTTCTATATTATCTCTTTGCCTATAACAATTTTTGTTTATACTATCACATATAATAAAATCCAGCAAGATACATCATGATAAAACCAATGGAGACAGAAGAGCCGTAGTTTGGTGGGGCTTCAAAATAAGATGATAGTAAATCAGCACTAGCTATTATGATGACTTACTTTCTTCAAAATAGCTGATCATTTCATCACAGGCAATAATATCAAGCAGCCCAGAATAAAGCCTTTCCAATTAATAAGTGAAAACTTTATAAGGCTTCAAGGCCACATAATGGGGTTCATGTGCAGTCACCCCTGTGCGGGCCAAGCTCGCTGGTGCCCGGGCACTGAGCCGCTGGGGGCGGGGCTTGGTCCAGACGGGGCGGGGCGATGTCCCGGGCCCTCTAGGCTCGCGCTGCCCCCTAGTGCGCATGCGCTCCGGAAGAAGCCAACGGCACTGAGCTGCCCGCCATGGATGAGGCTGATGACCCAGCCTCCTGCGGGGAGGAAGCTGAGATGAACAAAGACAGCAGGGACTCCGAGGCCTTCTCGGACGACCTCAGCGCCTTGGGCCTGGCCCTGGCCCTCCTGGAGCCGGCCAACGAGGACGAGTGCCGCCGCATCCGCCAGCAGTACCGGCAGCTGATTGACAGCGTGCAGCAGAGGCGCGACTCCATCGTGAGCACTGCGGGCGAGGCGCTGTCCGAGGCGCTGTGCGAGGCGGACGCGCTGTTCGAGATCGTGAGCCGCCCGCACGAGGCCGCCCTCGACGCGCAGTTCCTGGTGATGGCCTCGGACCTGGGCTGCGAGAAGGCACAGCAACTCAACGTCGACCTGAACCTATTCAACCTGGCCACCTTCTGTGAGCTGCTGCTGGCCTTTGCCGGCCTGAGCTGGCTGGAGGTGGCGCATGAGCGGAGCCAGGGCGGCGACGGCGTGGGCCCGGCCTTCTGGGTCACCATGCACCACGAGGCTGCCGCCTGGCTGGCGCGGGCCAACACCTTCCACTTCCTGCTCGGCAGCTTCTGGTCCGACCCCGCGGTGTGCCAACCCCCGGCCAAGCGGCCCCGCCGGTCGCGTGGAGCCCACACCGGTCCCGGGGAGCCCACCAAGCTGGCGTGCATAGATCCAGGCAACATGCAGGAGCCCACGGAGCGCCAGGTGGAGCGCATCCTGGGGCTGCTGCAGGCCTACTTCCGCCGCTACCCCCACTCGCCCGTGTCCTACTTTGAGTTCGTGGTGGACCCACACTCGTTCGCTCGTACCATAGAGAATATATTCCACGTGTCCTTCATCATTAGGGACGGCTTCGCAAGGATGCAGCTGGACCAGGACGGGCTGCCCGTTTTGGAACCCGTGGACGCCAGCCAGATGGGCGATGCCGCTGACCCTGGCACCTACAACCGGAAGCAGGGGGTGATAGCCTTGAGTCTGCAGGACTGGGCGGACATCGTGGCCACCTTCGAGATCTCTCAGGCCATGATCACGAACTCAAGCTAAAGGTTTTCATAGTGTGGCAGTCTGTTGGTTTTTTTTTTTTTTTTGAAGCGCATACTGTGTGTCTTGCAAAAAGTATCTGGGAACATCTGAAATTGTTTTCCTTATTGTAGTGTGTTTTTTTTGGTAATCTGTACAGTCGTGATTTGTTATTAAAAAACACCGCCACCTGCTTAAGGGAAATTTTTTGAATGCCTTATTAATAAAAATTAGTTCTGAATTTCATTAACTAGAAGATACTGGATTGGGCAGGCTGAGGCAGGAGAATCCAGCCAAGTTCCAGGTCAGTCTGGGCAATTTAGGAAGATCATATCTCAAAAGTGACAGGGTTGGGGTGCAGCCCAGTGATAAAGAGGTTCTGGATTCCACCCCTGGTATCATCATCCCACCATGGGTGATTCTGCGTTGCTCGCTGGATCAAAGTGAACCAGGAGAAGCCCATAAAAGTCTCCTGACCAGGTTAGGGGATCAAAGAGCAAAACAGTTATGGAAAACTTTGTAAGGCAGTTGTTAATACATAACATTAACAAGTCGGATGGCGCTCTTCACTGTAAAGAGTGGGCACTCAGTCTAAACAGTCTGTGTAAGCGGATTCAACAAACAGCATCTGCGTTTGGGTAGTGAGGGTGGTGCGGAGTGCAAGAGGTAGGAAGAGGAGACAGGAGCCAGGTGTGTGCGCAGAGCGGAGGCTCGCGGGAGCCGGCGGGTGTGCAGAGAACGTCTGTCTGGAGGTTAGACTGGACGAGCGTTGCATGATCTGGGCTATTCGGGTCCTTAGAGGTGGGAGAAGTTGTGTCTGTCACTTAGAGACGGGCAGCTGCCGCGGTTCGTTTCTTTTCTGCGCCCTAGTTCTCTCTTAGGCTGTCCTTCAGGAGCAGCGACGTCACATAACCACCTTTTTTATTTGCTTTGGGCAAAATGGCTTTGCTAGAGAAAGCCAGGATTACGTAGGACTTCAGAGTTGGCACTGGTCCCTTCCCTAGAGGTGTGCCCCATGGTGGCCAAGCGCCAGTTGTGCTGCACCTACTGCTCAGCCTCGCCCATCGCCAGCAGGCCAGCCCTCCTCCCACTCTCCTCATTTGGCCTCCATGGGAGTCTGACCTCTCACTTTGTCAGCCCTGGCCAGGGAACCGTGGACTTTACCTCCAAGCCTGCGGCCTGTGCTGCCACCCCACCCTCCTCCAGTGGGTGCCCGCCACGAGCACTGCTCCATGTTCCTGGGCGATGCCTTCCCGTGAGGCTCCCTGAACCTTGATCTGGAGGACTGTCTGTGCAAGGCCCCGCCAAAGAGCTGACTGAGCGGTGGACGCAGGCGCTGCTGCGCGGAAGCTGGAGGCGAGAGGGCGGAAGCGGGGGCCGCAGTGCCCACCGCCTGCTGCGGTCACCTCCGCACAGCGGCTTTGAGTATTCGCACTGCTGCGGGCCTTGCTAGGAGAGGCAGAGTGAGAGGCCTGTCCAGTGACCACAGGTCGGGATGTGTCTGATCCGAGAGTGGTGGCGCTCGCTGTGGCTTGGGGACCCTGTTTTCAGCCTGCTTCTCTGCAAGTCAGCCGTGGGGCTGGGCAGCGGGCTTGACGGGCAGTGTCACAGCAGGTCAGTTGCCAGTTAAGTCAGGTAGAATTGCGTGGATAGAAAACGGCACCTCGCTAATATAAAAATTTTAGCAGAGATTTGCCATGTACTGGCTATACTGATACTTCTAAAATATATTGGCATTTTAACTTTTTCTTCGTGTTTAATTTTTAATGTGAACATTAACACATAAAATACATTAACAAAACAGTTCCTTGTGAGAGGGTCCCGAGACCGGGACTGCACCCGGCTGGCCCGCTACTCCCGCAGCGGATGGCCGAGGCTGCCTGCCTCTTACCCTGTCCCTGTGGCCGTCTTGTGCCTTTCACCTTCTCTACGTGTCAGGTGGGGTAGCAGGTCGGGTATCGATTGCCTGAATGGGAACGGCAGCCGCTTTGATTTTAGGTTAGAGTGTAAACACACAGTGTTCGGCTCTGGGGCCATCTGAATGTCTCTGATGACTGCTCTTACCAGCTAGGCCTTAAGTGTTCAGGGTCCCTCAGCTCTTCCTGTGTGAAGCCTGTGTGTTGCTTGTCACATTTAACTAGGAGAGGCCGGGGGATTTCAGTAGAGCAGCGCCCTGGAGTGTGGGCATGCTTTTCTTTGATTTGCTGTGCTGGTGGCCCGAGGGGAGGGCGTTCTGGGGGTGCCTACTGATTGTGTTCCTTCTCTGTCTCGCTGAGTTTAGAGAAAAAATGAGGCTGAGCTTTAAAAATGGTTATTTGCGGGGCTGGGGATATAGCTCAGCGGCATAAGCACTTGCCTTGCAAGCAAGTGGTTGTGAGTTCAATCCCCGGTACCGATAAATAGGGAAAAAAAATGGTTATTTGCCAAAAACACCGAGTTGGACTTCCTTGTGGACCTGTCCAGCCAGCGAGTCCTCCTTCCTGGCCCTGGCGGGCCCCACGCGGGCCGGGCCGGCACCCTCCACCCTCTGCTCTGAATGGCTCTTACCACCCGCTCCTTTCCCCACAGTGCCTGGCCTTGGAGGTGGACGCGTGGCCATCATGCCGGCCCATGAGCACTGGCTGTGTCTCCCGGCTTCTCACCTTAGGCCTTTTGTGCAGACGGTCAGGGTGCAGCCGTCTCCCCACTATCGCTGGCCCTACTGTCCATGGCTTTCCCGAGTCCTCCCTCCTGCTCCTGCTCCTCCGCCTCTGCGTGCACCTGGCCTGCCTCGAGGCCCCTGCAGACCCACACCGCCGCCTCCCCCTGTGGCACCCCCTCCTGCGTCCCAGATGCCCTGTCCTGCTGACCCCCCGCTCCACCTTTCGCTCCCAGCACCTGACTGTAGACAGGAGAAAAACGTGCAGTCCGGGTCGGTAAGTTGGGAGCTTTTTGGTTTTGAAGTTAAAACTTGAGTTTTGCAAAGACCGTGTTGGTGTGCTTGTTAACTTTTTCAGTCATTTCTTTTCTTTTCTTTTCTTTTTTTTTTTTTTTTTTGTACTGGAAATCGAACTTAGGGCCTCACCAGGCTGGTGATGTACGGCTGACCTACATCCCCAGCTGAGTCAGTTTTTGTTAGCACAGATTTTTTTTTTTAATAACAGGGAACCTTAAATGGAACACCCAGTGTTCCAAACGGATACAAGGTATGACTAAGATACTTGAACACCAGTGCAATGAGAGGGGTTGTTTAAGGGGGGGCAGCTGGGGATTTAGCTCAGCAGCATAAGCACCTGCCTGGCAAGCCTGAGGTCATGAGTTCAATCCCCGGTACAAAAAAAAAAAAAGGAAAGAGACATAGTTGAAGGTGTGATGTATACGTGTACTAAATATTGCAGTGAATATGAGTAAACACGGACATCAGCTAGACAGCAGTGACCAAGGCAATGGGGAGAGGAGAGGGAGGACTGTGGGTAGGAGGGACAGTGGAATGAAAGGAATCAAGATGTGTTACGCCCACGCACCTACTCCGAAAGATGAACGTAAACTAAATGTACTGTAAACACATACTAATAAAAAGTTAAATTAGAAAGTCTGTTTGCTACATGGCAAGTATATGGAAATTAAATGTATTACCGGAGCCTTGACACACGTGGAGATTAAAGGGATGAGCTTTGCTAGGGTCCGGCGTGACTCAGATTGCTCCCGAGGCAGGGATGTACCTCAGTGGTAGAGCACTGGCCTGGTGTCCATGTGGTCATGTTTCGGTCTCAGCCCCACAGAAACTGAAGAGAAGCTAGATAATGAAAGCAGAAACTTAGATCTAACCTTTTGTACTGGTCAGTGGTTTTTCTGAATCTACATTTTCATGCTTCAGTTACAGCGAGTAGAGCACTTAGAGTGCTTGCTGGCTTTAAAACCGCTACGTGAAAGGGTGATGCCCATGTGTGTCCGGCCTCGCCCTGTCTTAGTCCTTCTGCCTTGATTGGAAGAGAAGACGGTGGCTCCATTGAAAACATACTGTACGGGGGTTGTTTTGTTTTTTGTGCTGGGAATCAAGCTCACTGCCTTGCATTTGCCAGGCAGGCGCTAACTCCCTTGGACTATATGCCTGGCTCACATGTTTTTAAAAATCTAATTTAACCTGGTGTTAGAATTCTAGGGAAGAAGGGCTGATAAATTCAGGTTGGGGTTAGGGTGGTTTTGTGCGGTCCAGGCCGTTTGCGTTTAGAAGTGCCATGTGTGTCATGTCGTGCCGAAGGCCTTGGTGGGGTGGCGTAGGGGGCACAGTCCTAAAAGAAAAGCAGGTCCTGACCCACTGGAAGGAGGGTGGCTGTTCTCATTTGTAGTCCAACAGCAATTTATTTTCTTTGAAAATTGATTTTGCTTTAAAGAAAGATTTTCTTACAGAGCTTTTGACATTGCTGTTTTCAAGCCTTTCCATTGCTTGTCTTTAGGTTTCCCAGGAGAGCAAGCTTCAGCAGGCAACAAACATGAACAACTCCCAGGACAGCCTTCCCGAGTCCTACGACTTCGACCTCATCATCATCGGTGGTGGCTCGGGCGGCCTGGCGGCTTCTAAGGCAAGGCTCTGCGTGGGGGTGCAGCCCAGTGCAGTCTTGGTGTCCCGCTAGCTCTCCAGGCGTCCTGGGGTACAGCGGATCTATTGTTGTGTCTTTCACATGGATTAGACAAGACCGATTGAAGTACCACTTAATCCTCCTTTCGGATTGAATTACAGGCTCTTCCTGTACAAGTACACGGTTTGGGGACATATTTTCATCCATTTTAGTTTCATTGATTTTTTTTTTTCAAAGATAAAGATATACGATAATGGTTTGATGTTACACAAACATTTCTACTTTTTTAAAATTAATTATTTATTTAATTGGTACCAGGGATCGAACTCATGACCTTGGACTTGCCAAGCAGGTGCTTATACCATTGAACTAAATCCCCAGCCCATATTTTTCCTTCTTTATAGATACAGTACTAGCCTTGGATTTTCATATTCACAGCCTCTTTTTCTCCCTATAGAAAGATAAACCATTAGATTTCTTAAACTCTGAGATTAAAGGTGACCCATGTCCTCCCGATGGCCTGTGGAGGTCTGGTGACGGTGCACAGAGCTCAGTGATGCTGTGAAGGGAAGGGTCCCCTGCAGAGTGGACAGGCAGTCCTTTTCTCTCCTTAGACGGGTCTGGGAGCCCTGCAGGTGCAGCTTTTGACTGGGCCCTCAGGAAGAACTCAGGAAATCCGACGGTAGCAGAACTGCTTTCCCAGCTGCACTGGAGGAACTGCAGTACCTTTAAAGATGCCTTAGAGGATGCACGTTGCGTCGGGCCTGAGGCTGAGGGACTGGCTTTATCAGCTACTGAATTTGCTTGGAAATGGTCCTTTCAGGTTGCGTAATTTGTTATTTGAGTGGAATTGTGTAAGAGGACTCTAAGGTTTCTAGCTGCATCTAACAGTTTTACAGCTGAAATCTGCTGTCTTTAAAGCCACCCTCACAATTATTCTGGGTGTCTCTGTGATTTTTGCACTGGAGCTAAATTGATCATCATGGTGTCTAGAATTTCCGGGAATTAATAGTTGTTTATGCTTTAGGCATCACAGCTTAATAAAAACAGCATGGATTTTAGCAGCGCATTTCCAGTCTGTGATATTAACTTTTCCCTCATTTTGATATTTTTTTCCAGGAGGCGGCCAAATATGGCAAGAAGGTGATGGTTTTAGATTTTGTCACTCCAACTCCTCTTGGAACCAGATGGGGTGAGCATCTAAAGTGTTTTAAAAGTGTTTTTGAAAAAGCAGGTATTTCCTGGGAATAATACATATGGTTTCTAAAACCCAAATTAATAAAATAAAACTTAAACCAGTGCTATGTATCTGTTCACCTGAGCTTAGTTAAGGTGAACTCAGGTTAATACTGAAAATTTAGGTTCCCCAGCACAGTCAAGGTAGAAGAAACTTTATCCACAATCTATAACTTTAATGTACATGTTTGTGAAATCTGCTCTGTTTGGAGCCTTAATCGAAAATTTAAACTTTTAAGTGTGGTGTTTTAAATCCACCTCTTGGATTCAACAAGGACTGAAATCAGATACCTGAATGGTCAGCTTTTGCTGCTTCGGTTTAATTCTTACTTACATCTTCCACAAATACTTGCTGATCACTTAGAAACGAAAGATGCAGCGGAAAGATTGAATTTTGTGTGTGGTTCCGACCCGTGCACGGCAGCCGTGCCCAGCGGGCAGCTGTGCAGCTGTGCATCCGCTGTGGCTGAGGAGTCAGTGGTGAACAGGGCCGTGTGCAAGCTGAGGGTTTCGCTTTCCACCATCATTTGCCATCAGCCAGTCCAATATGAATTTTTGAATTATGTGAAAATTGTGGAAATCCTTTTTTATTTGTATTTATTTATTTATTTATGTGCTATTTTGTAGTACCAGAGATTGAGCTACAGCCCCAGCCCTTTTAAAATTTTTTTTTTAAATTGTGGAAGAGGGTCTTGCAAAGTTGTCTAGACAGCGCTGGACCATGGAATCTCCTGCCTCAGCCTTCTGGAGCACTAGGATTATAGGCATGTGCTACCATGGTGGTCTGAAATCCACCTTTCTCTTTTGTTTTAGGATTACTACATATTCAGTAGATAAACTCTCTAAACTCCAGAAATTTCGTGAGACTTAGAAATAAGATAACATGAACAGAATCTACCACATTCGACGAGTGTCTTTGCCGAACTGTAGTAATTGTTGACTTTTTCCTTGAGGGCCTGGGAGAGGCTGTAACTGATTTCCCAATGTCCTCCCAGGTCTCGGAGGAACCTGTGTGAACGTGGGCTGCATACCGAAGAAGCTGATGCACCAGGCGGCCCTGCTGGGACAGGCCCTGCAGGACTCACGCAACTACGGCTGGAAGGTGGAGGACGCAGGTACCGGAGTGCACGGCCCTTCCCCTGGTGTGGGGGGTGGGAGCTGGATCTCGCAGGGCATCATTTATTTTTACAAGATGACCACCTTCCTGGGAGGTTGTTTTAGTGGTAGATTTTTTATGGATGAGATCACTGCGGTTACCGGTGTTGGGTACCATCCACATCGTTATGGTCAGAACACCACAGATAGCTCTGCATAGGAGACAGAAGCCTTCTGGTGCCTTCTCCCATCCTGCAGTGTTTGTGGCGGGAAGAAGTACAAATTCCATTTGATTCCTTTGGAAGTCGTTGCATTTTTCTTGCTAGAGAATTCTTTCACTAGCAGTGTGGGCGGTGTGTGCTGAGCAGGAAGAGGAGGAGAGGCTGCCAAGATTTCATTGAATTAAAATACTCCAGAGTGTGCCGAGCACCTGTAGCCCAGCATCCTGTGTCTTTGTCTAAGCTTAGATAAATTATTTATTCAGCTCTTTGCAGGTTTCATTTCCTTTCCCTCACTAGGCCTGCATAATTCCTACTTTTTCCATCGACTCCTGCTGTGTCTTAGCAGCAGACAAAGTCTCCCCGGGACTTGGATGAGAGCATTTGAAGGGCTGTGCCGTGTTTAAAGTCCATGCCCCCAGCAGGCGCTTCCTGAACTCTTCTCACATGGCCTGTGTTCCAAAGTGGGGCGCGGTGTGTGTACGCGTGTGCACAGTGCCTGCCAGGGCTGCTGCCGAGGGAGCAGTTGTGGACTGGAGAGAGGAGTGTCCTGGACTAGGTAAAGCTTTGCTTTATTGCGTTAGGTCTCAGAGGTGGAAGGAAAGTTGAGTATTTTCTGCATGAGGCCAGGGAAACCCTGGGAGAGGGAGAGGCTGCTGCTCCCCGAGTCCCAGCACACGAGGCGCCAAGGGCTCTCCGAGGCTCTTAGAGAGGCAGTGTGTCTCGTCTGCCTCCCTCGCCCCAGAGCAGCGCTAGCGGGACTTTTCTCTCTGACACCAGTGGCCCCGGGGTGCCAAGGGTCATGGGGACCTGGAGAGCGCAGAACCTTGGAACCTGCCTCTCGGGGAGTGACAGGTGGCCGCACAGCCTGCAGGTCCAGGACTCGGCCAAGACCTGCTTTCCCCAAACTTCAGACTGCAGGTGCACAGCGAGGAGCTCAGGCCTTCAAAAACAAGCGGTCTGGAGCTCGAGTAAGCTGAATGGGTCCTTTGGAAGGTCGGTGGGCTCTGCAGTGCTCGGGTTGATCTGTTTCAGTTCTCTCCTGCTTAAGAGTGAGCATGTCTAATGGAGAAGTGAGGTTTGGGATCGCATGGCCGTTGCATGGAAAGCGAGATCATTAGTTCGTGAGGGGGGCTTGTGCAGTTTCAGGCTGTTCCCCGTCACAGCCCGACTCAGGGTATGCACAGAGAACCACGTGCATGTGGGTGCCACTGATGTGATATGACCCTGGACGGGTCAGCTGCCCCTGATTTTTCTGGCTGTCCAAGCTATGATCAAACTGTACAATGAATGTTTACATTTTTTTTTTTTTTTGGTTTGTTTTTGAGATAGTCTCTGTGTAGTTCAGGCTGGCCTTGAGCTCACAGATGTCCTCCTGCCTCAGCCCTGAGTGCTGGGATTACAGGCCTGTGCCACCACACCTGGCTACATTTCTAAAATATTCATAAAAGGCACATTGCCATGAATCTCCTTCAAAATATTTCCTTTGATTTAAACATTCTTATTCCATTGTTCTTGCCATTTGGGGAGCATTTCTGGAAGTCCTTTTTTATGACTGGCTGCCTTTACAAGGTGTGATCAAAATATGGTGAATGTGTTGCTGAATTCCATCCGGTAGAAAGGCAGGCTTGTGAAAAACAGGACATGTGCTGGGCGTGGTGGTGCATGCCTGCAATCCCAGCACTCGGGAGGCTGAAGCAGGAGGATCGTCGTGCGTTTGAGGCCAGCCTGGGCTACATAGCAAGACCCTGTCTCAAAAAAAACTGCATGTGTCTTCACCCACCTTATTCGCTGGACATGGACCGTGTGACCGCTGGCTCTTCCCCAAAGTCCAGTGACTGTGAAAGGGAGATGAGGGGATTCAGCAGCTGTGGCAGGGCAGCAAAAGACTCACACAGGGGCTCCAGAGCTGCCGCAGGAAGAGGCAGGAGCAGTGGCCTGAGCGTCCAGAATGCGGGGTCAGCTCAGGGACCTAGTAGTGTGTCTGAATGGAGACCTCGCTGTGTTTTCCTGTCACACCTGGTAGAGTTGGGGGGAATCCCTGCCTCTCTAGTGCTTTGGGGCCCAAAGTCACCACATGTCCTTGTGTGCGTTCAGCTTTGTCCTTGAGCCCAGGACTAGGGCCTGGCTCTCACAGTGCACAGAGCTCGTGGCGAGGTGCCTGCAGCCCCAGCTGCTGGGAGGTATGAGCCCTTTCTGTCCGGCAGCTCTGAGACCTGGCCACCCGGTCCCTGCAGCCAGGAAGAGGAGAGAGGAGGGCGGAGCCGGGAGGGAGTCACCTGTGTGGGTGACCCCTGGTGACCAGTGTCTTTCAGCTGGGCCTGGCTCCTAATGTCACATTTCACGGTGACCTTGCTCCTTCCAGAAGCTCAGCCTCTGCACTCCACGGGCTGTGGTAGAACATTCTAGATCTCACCATGACAGGCATTGCCAGAAGGCAGGGCAGCCCAGGCCAGAGAGCGGGAGCATAGCACCTGAAGTGGGCGGGACAGAGGCGGCAGTGTGACCCAGGGCCTGGAGTGGCTCGAGTGCTGAGCCACCAGCAGAGTCACACTGGGCGGCGGGGGCGGGGGTGGCCGTCCAGGTGCACCGGGGATGGGGCTTCGGTGGGTCAGGAGAGTCGAGGGCTGGGAACCAGGGAGCTAAGTGGCAAGGGTGCCCCTTAGTCACAGTGACCCGCAGTGACGTGTGTGCGGAACCATCTTACAGCGTAGTACCCGGCCCAGCGGGGAGAACGTGGAAAGTGACTGGGAGATGCTGGCAGCCCGCTGCAGTTCGAGATTGCACAGAGGTGAGCGGGCTGCTGGACCCTTCGTTCCTGCCCCCAGAACCTGTAGCAGGCAGGTAGTGAGCGTTCCTGGTGGGCAGGATGGAAGGGTCAGTCCTGTCCTTGCCCCAGGCTTGCATCCTTACCGCTTGGTTGTTTCTATTGTGAGGCAGAGCTTGGTGAGTTCCTGAGTTCCGCAGGGCTGGAAGCAAAGCTCCTGCCTCAGCCTCCCACAGTGGCGGGATGACAATTCCGCAGGCAGACAGTAGAGTGCAGGGTCTCTTCAGCATCCTGCACCCCTGAGCACCTGGTGCCCTGGACAGCACGGCCACAGTGGCCTCCCAGTCTGACGTGATCTGTTCTGGTTGTCTCCGTTCTAACACTTTGTGTGTTACGATTGCATGAACTGAATGTCCATAATCAGCCCCCTTTTCATGCTGACTGCCGGAGTGGGTGCACAGTGTGGCTCGGCTGCCAACCCGCCGGATCTGCAGCCCGGAACTTGGGGAAGCTGGATTTTCCTGCTTCCAACCACAGATTCCTGGAGCTGTCTTGCGCACACCACCAGGGTGGCGTTTCTCTGTGCCTGATGGTTTGCTCTTGGCTGGTGATCTGTTAACGAGTGAGTGACACAGGCTGATTCTCACCCATGAACATTTTGAAATTCCGTATTTTAGTGACTTGTGATAATCCAAAACTCTTTTGTGAGACGAGAGGTTGGGGGCCCTAAGACAGACACTGGAAATTCTCCAAGTCTTCCTGTGGTGGGCAGATAGGTGTTCTGGCTTCAGGGGGCACACGTGTGTCACACTGCCTCAACCCCACCGACCAGTGTAACCCACCCTAGCTGAACACCACTCTGCACTCGGGAAAACGTTGTTCACCAAAGTTTCTGCAGGCCCAAGGTGACCTTGCTGCCAGATGCTATGGAAACTGCTAGCTCAGTGACCGTGCCTGGCTGCATGGGAGTCTCTTGGAGAATTCATTACAAATACGACCCGAGCAAATGCCACTTCATTTCTAGATACGGGGAGAAGTGTGTGTGCGTTGAGGCTGAGGGTTTCCGGGAAAACTTGTGTTACTTAATCATACGGATGTCTTCCAAAAGCCAAAGAACACTGAAGACAAAGCTGTAGCTTAGGCCGGAGATAGAGCTCAGTGGCAAAAGCGCCTGCCTGGCCAGCGAGGTCCTGAGTCTGGTTCCCAGTACCACAAAAAAAGGAAGAAAGGACAGACGTTTATCTTAGGCATGGTGGCACATACCTGTCATCTCAGCACTCGGGAGGCTGAGTCAGAGGATCATTGCGAGTTCAAGACCAGGCGGGGCTACAAAGTGAGCTGAAGGCCAGCCTGGACTGCATAGTGAGACCCTGCCTCAAAAAGATGAGACCAAAAACAAAGGCACAGGGCCGTGCTCGGCGTGCAGGACTTAGCCCTGCAGACTGGAAAGCTCTGCTCCTGGCTTCCGGGCGAGGGGCGGCCGAGCCCTGGGGTTGCCCGGCAGTCACTGGTGGGTGTCCCGTCTCTTGCAGTGAAGCATGACTGGGAGAAGATGACGGAGGCTGTGCAGAACCACATCGGCTCTCTGAACTGGGGCTACCGCGTCGCCCTGCGGGAGAAGAAGGTGGTCTACGAGAACGCGTACGGCCAGTTCATCGGCCCTCACAGGATTAAGGTCGGCCTCGGTCCTCTGCAGGTTTTTCCTTGCTGCTTTTGGACTTTGGTTCCCGCCGGGGGGAAGACGGTATTTGGAAGTGTTAAAGCGGTGACCCAGACAGGCTGGTGACTTGGCCGTGACGCTTCTGCGAGGCCTTCTGCGGGGGTGGTGGATGGCAGTGCCCTGGGCCAGCTCAGTGGGCTCTGAGCCCCGGCTCCATCGTGACCTTGAGCTATCACCTTGTGACACGACACGGATCAGATAAGACAGTGCACAGAAACTTTTGTTAGTTCTAAGGCTTGGTTCCAAGGAGTGCCTAACCGAAGCTGACACGTTGCTTTCTCTATAGGCAACAAATAATAAGGGCAAAGAAAAAATTTACTCAGCAGAGCGGTTTCTCATTGCCACCGGGGAAAGACCGCGCTACTTGGGCATCCCTGGCGACAAAGAGTTCTGCATTAGCAGGTGAGGAGAGGGCAGGGCAGGGCCGGGAGAAAGCCGTGTGCTTTGCTCTTTTCTCCAAGCCCACTTAGTCTGGTTCTTGAATGTGTCGTACGTGGATGCGGGGTGTACTTGGGGGTTCTGTAAGCGCCCAGCGCTGCACCGACACTGCACCCACAGACGTTTTGGGTAACAAGTGTGGTGCGGGTGCATTTATATTTAGTTTTGCAAAGCTGGGACCACGCTTCTCTTTTATACTTGCAAAGTGGACACGGAGAGGATTAGCGAAGGACATTTCACTTCGGTTTGTCAGACCCTGGTCCCTCCTGCTCAGCGCTGCAGAGGGGCCTCTTGGGCATCACGCTGAGTGACCGCGCAGCTGACTGTTGTGCAGCGGTCTGAAATTACCAGGTCGTTAGCACAGATCGCTGGCCCTCTCGATGATTTTGGCCTGCGAGTTTCTGATTCTGCCGCACATCAGTCTGCTCCTGCCTGCCTCTGCGGTAAAACGGTTTTGTCCTTTGGGCTCACGCAGGGCGGCTCAGATGGAAACCGATGTCACTTCTGTCTTGGGTTGTGGGCTGCTGTAACAAAGCACCGTAACCTGGGTGGCTTCGAAAGCCTTTGCTCCTTCTCCAAAGCCATCGAGTGGCAGAAAGGGAAGAAGCCCTCTGACTTGAGGCTTTCCCGGGACTGTGTGTGCTGTGTGTGGGTAATGAACGGCATGTTCGTAATCCCCGAAGTTTCCCGATCCCCTTAAAGTGACCCGCCTCCTCGGCTGAGGCGTGCTCACACGTGACCTCCTACCCCTCCCCACTGTTTGCAGCGACGATCTCTTCTCCTTGCCTTACTGCCCGGGCAAGACGCTGGTGGTCGGGGCGTCCTACGTGGCTTTGGAGTGTGCCGGGTTCCTGGCCGGCATTGGTTTGGACGTCACCGTTATGGTGCGGTCCATTCTCCTCAGAGGATTCGACCAGGACATGGCCAACAAAATTGGCGAACACATGGAGGAACATGGCATCAAGTTCATAAAGCAGTTCGTGCCAATCAAAGTAAGTGGGGCTGTGTGTGGGGTTCTGTGCTCTTGAGGGAGGGCAAGCTGCGAGCTGGGTAGGTGGTGGGGCGCCCTGTGAGCCCCGGCCCGCGGCTCCTTGCTGGTGTGCACCGATGCACGCACTCGGCTCTTGGGGCAGCCGTGCTCCCTTCCTTTGTCCATGTCCTCTCTGTTTCTTTGCTGTCTAATACTCCCTTAGGCATTGCTTTGCTGTCCGAGTCCCAGAGACTGGAAGATGAATTCACGCCCAGCCCGCTTCCTTTCCCCTGCGTGCATGGTGGCGTGGACCGGTGTGCTGTGTGTAATTCCTGCTTCCCCAGGAGCAGCAGTCTCATTCTGCTAGTGGCTTTTCTGCCCGCTTTTAATCACCTAACCTTTCCCAAGTTGAATCTGCAATTGTGTGGGCGTTGGTGTGTCCAGTGACCGAGTGGACCGCTGCGGGCTCTCTAGGACCAGGGGTTTCCCTCTGTTCCAGGCTGGAAGTGTCGGCTAAGTGGTGCATTTCCCTCCCAGTGAGTTAACGTGGGTTATTTGCGTGGCCGTGGGGCTCAGTGCTGAGAGGTGAGGTGTGGTGTGGGGCTCGCTCTGATCTGGAGTTAGCGCCTTCTTGCTGGTTTCCTGCATGTGACCTAGCGAGAGTTATTGAACGGCTCTGAGCCTTGGCTCTTGGGTGAAGTGAGGAAGACGGGCTTGAGAGTCCGGGAGGATGTGCTAAGTGTCGCCGCAGCACTGGCTGGTGCTGGCATTCCTACGTGAACCTGTCTGTCTCCTACTACCCTTGTGAGCACTGAAGTGGGTTTCGTGGGCATGACCAGTGCTTGGTTATGCTGGCTGTTTTTCAGGGAGTAGAGATGCTCTCTGGGTATTAGGGCTGGGATTAGGAGTCCAAACCTATAACCTATTACATATAAATCATATATAGCAAAAGTATACATGTAAATACATGTGCATTGCAGACAGCAGCTGTATATCTTGGTGCTGTGTTGATAGGAAAGTAACATCCTCCAGTATCAATATGAGAGAGCGCGTGTGTGTGAACTGTGAACCCTTTAACAGCGAGTGGGCAGTGCCGGTATGCCCAGGCTCCTGGGTGTCCGGTGCCCCTCCCGGGCCTTGACCCTTCTGGGCCACAGGTGACTGACTGAGTGTGGGCACGGCCTGGGCGAGGTGGAAGGTGAGCGTGCCAAGGCTCTGTGGGCAGGAGAGAGCAGGCGGCTCCTGGAAGAGCCCAGGACAGGAGAGGCCCCGGCCTGCCCTGCCCTGGAGCCAGAGCTGACTCTCCAGGAGCAGGACGTCTTAACTGAAACAGGATGGCCTGGTGGCACATTCAGACATTCCACCACATAAAACAAAATGGGAATCTGAGCAGGTAGATGTCAAAAATAGTGACCCTTGACGGCGTTTCCAGACCAGAGCGGTTCTATTTGAAAGCTTGAGTGAAAACTTAGGCCATGTTATTCATCTCTCCAGGAGCAGGTTACAGAAATGCCTGCTTGCCTGCTCCCCAGGGAAGGGTGGCTGTGGACCGGAGAAAGTGTCAGTGTGGCCGGGGCCATGTGTCCCCTGGCTGGATCCTGCTCTGCACAGGGCTCAGCCTCTGGTGCTGCACGCTCATAAGCCCGGGCTTGTGCTGCACATACCTGCTTCCCTGCCCACGCAGGCTCGGGACTTCCGAGCTGTTGTTTTCCAGCATCTTCGCTGTCAGTGAGCGCTGGCTGCGCCTGGGCAGGAGGGAATCTCTGGTTTGGGGCAGCAGCAGCCGTGAGCAGTGGCGTGGTTCTGGGTAAATTGTGAGGAAGGGTCCTGAAGCTGCGGCTTGTGGTTTGAATTTAGGAATTCCAGCATCTTCTCTCTTTCTTTCTGCTTTTCTCTCCAAATCCAACTGCCTCAGAGCCGTCCCACACAGGGCCCCCGGCAGATGACACAGGCAGTGAGGACCGGCAAGAGACTTCGGACTCACCTAGCGCCCTGGTCGTGCTAAGGTGGCGACGTGATGGCCCCTTCCAGCCGGGCTCCCTGCATCAGCCTGCAGCAGAGAGATACAAAGGCCGAGCTTACCCTCCCAATAATATCTTTGTTTCAGAGCAAAACTTTGTCACTTTCACAGGTTGAACAAATTGAACCAGGGACCCCAGGCCGCCTGAAGGTGACTGCAAAGTCCACGCACAGCGAGGACATCATCGAGGGAGAGTACAACACAGTAAGGAGCGGCCGGGCACTGGCTCTGGGCATCCGTCCCGGGCTGGGAGGTGGCTGTTTCTGAGCTGCACAGCGCTGGGGGCGGATCTCATGGCTCCTGATGTTACCGTTTTTTGGGACCGAGGGTGGCTGCAGATTCCCTGTGCTCTGATGGAAAACAGCGTTTGTCGGGAGCAGAGAGAAGCCCCAGGAGGTTGGGGGCGCTGCAGCTTGTGCATCCCGTGTCCCTCGTTCGTGTCCCCAGCTTGCCGCTGAGAGGACGACTGGTCCGCCCCGACTGCACCGCCCTTGTCTCTGAGCGAGGCCGCGTTTGCTGCGGTGTCACCCACCCCTGTCCCCGGGAGAGCTGGAAGGGATTTCCGCTGTGTCACGTTCTAAGGGCTTTTTAAAAACTTAAAGCTTTCAATGTGTTTCAACTTTTACATTGTTTTCTAAATGAAAGATTTACCTCCAAGTCTGGAAAATGAACTTAGTTAGCCTGGTAGTTGAAGAACAGGATTAAATGACGCATGCGACGAGGCTGTCTTTACAGCAGGGTTTTCATTTCCCAGGTGTTGCTGGCGATAGGAAGAGATGCTTGTACCAGAAACATCGGCTTAGAGACTGTGGGGGTGAAGATCAATGAGAAGTAAGGAAGAAGTTACCGCGGCGTGCGGCGCTGTTTCAGTCACTGTAACGCCGAGCCGGCCTGGAGTTCGGGGCTGATTTTTGCCAGTGGTGGCATTCCTGTTTCGGGTTTTATCGGTGCCACTCACATTCATAGTTCCTGTTTTGGGTTACTTTTGTTGGTTCTGATATTTATTTTTCCCTCCGTAGTGGGGATTGAACCCCGGGCCTCACTTTTAACCATGTATTGTACAATTCCTTGTAAAAAAAATTTTTTTAACACCAAGTACATTTATTAGAAAGAAGAAAATTACAAAAATATTCTATCTTTCCTTCAGAGAGTAGAGATAAAAGAATAAGACCAAAAACAAATAGAAGAAAATAATAAAGATCAGGAAAGACAATCCCTTACCAAAATGTCAGCATCCCTTTTCATAAAAGTTAACATTTTGATTTTTACATTTCTGTAGAAATATAGAAGATTCAGAATAGTCTAAACAACTTTGATAAAGGAACAAAGTTAGGCCTCTAACCCTCCCCAATCCCACAGCTTACCACAAAGTTACACCAATCATGACAAAATGGCATTGATACGAGACAGACAAACCACCAGAGCACCAATATGCGGTCCCAAAATAGGCCCCACATAGCAGACAGCTGACTTCTGGCAAAGACACAAAAGCAGTTAAGTGGAGAGGGACTGTACCTTCAGTAAATACACAGAACAACTGGATCTCCACAGGCAAACAGCCCAAACCTTACAGCACACCAGAAGTTTCCTAAGACTCGGCTCACAGTGGGTGACGTGAAGGCAGGTGTGGCCGGAGTCCTTGCTCTGGCTGAGGCCACTCCCTGTGGGACAGACACTGGGGCAGGGTGTCGGAGGGAAGGCGGCACCTGCAGAGGTGCTCGGTGAAGGGGGCTCTGCATCTGCTTCGGAGCAGGCCACGGGACGACAGGGGAGGCTGGATCGCACCTTGTTTTTAACTGTCTGAACTCTTGTTTATACACATACACATGTGTGCTGTTTCCTTCCGCCTACTGCGCTAATGAAACTGCGATGCTTACACACGTGTGTCTCACTTCACTGATGAGTGTATTCTCAGGCACGTATCCTTGTAGTCCTCTTACTGATTTTCCAATAACGGCCTGCGTGGTCAGTGAGCATTCTGGTGCCCTGTCGGCCCTGATCGGATGTGTCGCTGCCTCCTGTCCTGCTCAGCCCGGCTCTGTGCGGGCTTCCTCGGGAGGGCCGGGATCGCGGTGGTCTCGGCTCATGCTGCTGGTGGTTATTTGCAGGACTGGAAAAATCCCGGTCACGGACGAGGAGCAGACCAACGTGCCTTACATCTACGCCATTGGCGACATCCTAGAGGGGAAGCTGGAGCTCACCCCCGTGGCCATCCAGGCGGGGCGGCTGCTGGCCCAGCGGCTCTACGGTGGCTCCACCGTCAAGGTGAGCCAGAGCCACCTCAGCCTGCTAAGCCACCGTTGTGTTTCTGCGTGCTGGGATCGGACTCGAGCTATCCCCAGCCCGTTACGTGCATTTGTCTAGACAAGGTCCTGTTAGATCATCGGGGCGGGGCCGAGCTCACAGCCCGCCCGCCGCAGCCTCCAGGGGTTGGATCACAGATGTGTGCTCCGGGTGGCTTTAAGTAGTCCTCTGGGAGGGATGCACGTGGGAAATTTTCAATAATTTCTTTACTGGGCTGGGGATTTAGCTCAGCGGCATAAGCACCTGCCTTGCAAGCAGGCAGTCGTGAGTTCGGTCCCCGGTACCGATAAAAACGAAAAAAAAGACAAAAAAAAAAAAAAAATTTCTTTACTGTGGTCGTGACATGTTAGGTGTGTTTTATGAACTATAAACTGTATGTGTTATTCCGAATAACACACTGAGGCTGCTATGTGTGACCTCCTGTGAGAACTGTTACTTTTGAAGTCACACTAGGAGTGAGAACAGCCTGCTCATACAAACCGTTGCTTCTTTCCACAAGTTTCGTCATTACTGTGGTGTGTATAATTTTCTAAACCTTTGGGGCACCTGTGTAGGCTGTAAAAGGATTTGGAGATTACGTAAAGGTGTGGTACATTCAGGTTTCATTCCAATCCTTTCTTTAAGATTTTTTTGCCCTTGGGATGTGGAACACGCTGTGTGCCATTGCCGATATAGTAAAGTGGTTTTTTCAGAGTCACTCTAGGAGGCTGAACCTCGGTTACAGTGCCCGGGACAAGACGACAAGGAGAATGCGCAGAGCCGTGTTATTTTTTTTTAAACTGCACCGGTTAAAAGACCCCTGTGCCACTTTCCCTGAGTATGGCCATGGGCTCGCCTCAATTGGCCTCGGTAACGAAACTTCCCAGAATGGTGCTGTGTAGGCTGTGATGTGATGAAATGTTCCCCTGACCCGCGCTGTCACTCTGATGGCCGTGTAACAGCACAGTGGGAGTCTGTGTGTCCAGGGCCACTTCCTACTCCTGCGTTCGTAAAGCCACTCGAGTATCGATGAACCCTGCAGGGTGCCCGGCCTTTTCTGCACCCTGCGTGATGAAGGTCACTTGCTGTTACAGTTACAACAGCACGATATTAGGGTTCTGCACTCTGGAGAAGCAGAATTACTGAGCCAAAGGCATGGAGTACTTTTACGGCCCTTCGTATGTATTGTCTAACTGATGGTCCAGACAATTTTGTTAGTTTTTATCGCTAATTAATAGTAGATTGTCAGTATTGGGTGCCCCTATATTGTTTTTTGCTGTTTATTAGAGGACAAAAAGTGGTCATTATTGGTGACCTCATATAGGGGAAGGAAAGAACCGTCGGAGCTGGTGTGGTGGTGCACACCTATAATCCAGCACTCGGGAGGCTGAGGCAAGAGCATCTCTGAGTTCAAGGCCAGCCTGGCCTGCATGGTGAGACTGTCTCAATAAAAAGACCAAAAGGGAAGAAAGAAAGAGCCGTAGGAACCTTTCTATAACCAGGCCTCGGACCCCAGCCAGAGGTTCTCGGCCTTGTCGCTTAAAGTGGAGGTTGGGACTTCGCGCGCTTATGGTTGAAGATTACCTGCTTTCCTCTCCCGGCTCGGGACCCTTTTATTTTGGGGAAACGACCAGTTTTCCTGTCCTAATTCTCGCCCTCTGCTTTGAAACAGTGCGACTATGAGAACGTCCCGACCACGGTGTTCACCCCGCTGGAGTACGGCGCCTGCGGCCTCTCCGAGGAGAAGGCGGTGGAGAGGTTCGGCGAGGACAACGTGGAGGCAAGTGCTCCTGCCTGCCTGCCTGCCTGCCTGTCTGTCTGTCTGTCTGTCCGTCTCCTGTGCTGCTGCTGTTTCCTCAGAATGTCAGAGGCCTTTTCAGCGTGTGGCAGTGTTGGAAAGTAGCGCAGAGCTTCCCCGCACCCAGGACCAGATCCAGGCCTCACCCGGCCATGCATCCCCCGTGTGTTCGTGTCGAGCTGCAGAAGGCTGAGACGGCGCCCCGTGTGCTGCCTCCACTTCATGGGTGCGCGTGTGAGCAGGGCGTTTTCCGGGAACGCCGTGTGCCCCGCTCTCTCGGGAAGTGCACCGACGAAGCGGTTCCGTCTGATTTTCCTTTCATTGTCCAGACTTGTCAGCTGGCCTGGTAAACAGTTCTGCTGTTTATAGCCACAGGTATTGGCTGCGCTTGGTATTAGAACAGAGTTGTTGACACATGAAAAATATTCCCAAAATGAGAGGGGAACTCACACTCAGTGCAGAGCTCTGCTCCGGCCGAGGGAGTGAACTGGCTCCTGCACCCCTTCGCCACCCTGCTGACCTAGCGTGGTCAGGGCGCGTGTGCACAGCCAGCGCTGCAGCCTTTTAAATCATTTGGGAGAAAACCTTCCAGTAAAACCTTTGTATAACCACATTAGTGAAAAACGGCCAATGGTATGACATCAAAGCTTATTTTAAATACTTTTTAATTTTTTCCTGTACTTCTTACTGCTATAGTAGCATGTCATATTTTAATCCACTGGGGACACAGTGACTTTTGGGGGGGTTTTTGATCTTGTTGAGTCAGGGCCTCACTACGCAGTTCAGGCTGGTCTTGGGCTCTCTTTGTAGCCCAGGCTGCTCTTGACCTCACAACGATCCTCCTCCTCAGCCGCCCGAGTGCTGGGATGACAGGCGTGCACCACCACACCTGGCTCACTTTTTTATTGTATACTTTCACTACAAAAAGTTGGAAGAATTAGGAAAACCTCACAAAGGAACTTTATAGAAGAGATAATTGCTGTGCTGTTTTTGCATGTTTCCCTTTAGGCCTTTTTTTTTCCTAAGTAATTTTTTAGGTTGAGCATATGTTAGTCCAGAATGCTTCAGACTGACAGTGTTTCGGGGTTCAGATTTGTTTTTGCTTTTGGAATATTTGCATCTGTGTAACGTATGGCTGTGGTTGCACCAAAACTAAATGAGAAATTGGTTCATCTCACACAGTGTGAGGGGAATCGAAAGCAGTGTTTTTAATGTGCCTGTGTTTGGACTTCAGCTGCCTCGGGTCAGGTGTGGCATTTTCTGCTGATGACCTCTTCCAGGACACTTTTTAAATCCGTGGGTGTGGAGCGTTGTAGTAGGGATGCTCACCCACCCGGGTGTTTGTATTGGGTTTTGGTTTTGTGTAGGTGCAGATACTTGAGTTTTTAAAGTATGATTAAGTTACCTGCAGTTTTTTGCCCCACATCCATCTCAATTTTCCTTCATCCTTTAATTCTCTAAATATGTCATTTTTAAAAAGTGTGTAATAGTAGTTTTTAGGGATAATTTAAGTCCTTGTTAGGTTGTTTATAGTTTTCTACAATTATAAATAGATTAGTGAATACAGGTCATTGTCCATTTTGGTCATTAGTTTGAGGATAGGTTGCCTATAAAAGTTTTTAATTTTAAGTTTCTGCATAGATGTTTTTCTTTTTTTGGTACCAGGGATCCAACTCATGACCTTGCGCTTGCCAGGCAGGCACTTATGCCACTGAGCTACATCCCCGGCCCTAAATTTACCATTTTCATTATGAAAGTACTGTTTGAGTTGAAATTTTGAAAATTTTAAGGGAAGTGAACCCCACTGAGGTTACGTCTGTGACCTAGCAATCGTTAGCAGTTGGAGTAATTTTCTTGCTCTTCCTTATGTAACCCTGGCGATGCTGTGATACCGAGCGGCACGTTTTGTAATGCACATGTGTTACAAGCAGCTTGTACACCACACCGACCCCTGCCGCAGCTATAGCCGTTAGGAGGCGGCGGTGCTGTGTGCTGCCCTGAACTCTCCCTCCTCGTCTCCCCGCAGTGTCCCTGCCAGTGCAGCCTGAGCAGGCAGGGTGGGCTGCAGGCCCTGAGCAGGGCACTTGGGGAACACGGCGCTTGTCTTGTTCCTGGCGCCACTGTTTCTGGCCTAGGTGTCGCTCCTGTCAGGCGACGAGACGGGGCTGAGTTCTTGGCGTTGCTTGTGTTTGAAGGCAGGGCAGCCACACCTGGCTGTTTGCCTCCTTTCGCCCCTTCCCTCCCTCCTTCCCTCCCTCCCTCTCTGCCTCCCTCCCTCCCTCCCAGGCGTGCTGCTGAGATCTGCTCTGCGTGGAGGGACAGTTACGGGAGGAGTTACAGGGAGAGCCTGACAGCGGGCTCTCCAGCCTCCACCTCTGCCCGCACCCGGAGTGTTCCGGGACTCGCGTGGGAGGAGGCCCACTCCTCCAGGACCCACGTGCAGCCTGAGTGTGCTGTGAGTCACGAGCCTGTGCTGTGTCCCCCCAGGTCTACCACAGTTTCTTCTGGCCGTTGGAATGGACAGTTCCATCCAGAGACCTGAACAAATGCTACGCGAAGATCGTGTGTAATCTTCAAGATGACGTAAGTGCAGCCTGCACTGCCTCCTCCCTGGTGACTCGGGCAGTGACCTGAGCGCTTCCCCAGGGCTGGCTCCCGTGGTGAGGATGTCACCCAGGGCAGGCGGCCCATGCACTCTGGGTCTGTGTGTCTGGGAACAGTGGGCAGCACCAAGGGGCAGGAGCGGTGCCAGCGTGAGCCTCAGCAGCTGGCCGCAGAGAGGGCGCCACGGCGGGAGGGCCCTGACAGGCTCCTGTCCGCAGCCACGTGGCCTGGTACCCGCGCCCGCGGGCAGCTGCTTCCCTCCGCAGGGCGAGGGGCTGAATCGGCAGAGCGAGAGCAGGCCCTGGCGCTGCCACCCAGCGGGAAACACGTTGCACACTGTAATCCAGAGCGCGGCTCTCCTCGCACCCGCGGCCCCCTCTCTGTCTCTGTCTCTGTCTTTCTGTGTCTCTCAACATTTAACTGAATCCTTGAAGACGTTTAACTTGCTGGCATATTAACTTTTATTTTGTACCAGGGATTGAACTCACAAGTGCACACTTGCAAGGCAGGCGCTTATGCCGCTGAGCCAAATCCCCGGCCCCCTTATTTTGTCTTTTTTGAGGCAGAGTCTCGCTATGCAGCTCAGGCTGGCCTGGAGCTCACTTTGTAGCCCAGGCTGGTCTCCAACTCCCAAAAGTCCTCCTGCCTCAGCCTCCCGGGTGCTGGGATTACAGGTGTGCCCCCTCGCCCTGCTTCTAGTGTGTGGTCAGTGGCGTCACTACCTGTCTTACGGGAAACAGCCGCAGCCAGGATTTCTCTGCTCTTCTGGTGCTGCTGGCTGTCCCGGGTGTGTGGTCCTGGGTTTTAAGCAGTAATTATTCTGGTTATAGTATCTAAAGTATTCATAAAGGCAGGGAGAGCCCCACTTAGATGCCGGCAACCTTCCCGGCTCTGCGGGTGTGCTGCAGAGCTCGTCCTGTGCGAGGCTGGCCAGCACGGATGCGGTTACAGTAACCTGCATGGCACTGTGCTCCTGGTGCGCACGGCCCACGCGCACTGGGGTCAGCACGCAGAAGTGGGAGGGGCGTTGACCGCTTCCCCTCCACAGCGCTGTAAGGGTGTGCCCGTGCTGCCCCATCGTATCACCGGGAAGGCCAGGCACAGGGAAGTCAGGGGGCTGTGTCCCTCACCTGCCCAACGGGCAGCAGAACTGCAGTTCAGTTCCAGGCCCCGTGGGCCCGGGCTCTGCTCCGGGGTGGGCACGCACCCCTTCACTTCCCTAGATGCAGGGCTTCCCCGATGCAGGACTGCCCTGTTCCTGTCTTTGAAACCTTTTGGGGCGTATCATAGCTAAACTGAGAATGTCATTCTCAGCAGTTAGAACCTCGCCCCTCACCATGTTTAGTTTTAGCTTTCCCAGCACTGCGTAAACCTAGTGTTTCAGTAGTACGTTGCCTGCAGCTGCCCCTGACTGTCCCTCATGGGGTCTGTGGCCGCACTTTGGGGGCAGAGTGGCCCTTCCAGCTGTTTCCAGGAAGCCACCGTCACTTAGGTTCTACTCCCGGGGGCCGGCCCTGCTGGCGTGGTGAGGGGCGGCTCTGGAAAGAAGTCCCTGTCCGAGAGTAGCCTGGCAGGTGCAGCCTGAGCCTGGGCGTTAGAGTTTGTCCAGAATCCTTCCCAGATGTGTTCAGAGTAGCCAGGCGTGGCCTGCTGCTGTCACCGTGTTTAAGGGCCTTCCTAGTACTGAGGGCGCCTTGGGGTAAATGATCCGTTCTATATGTGTGACTGCTCAGGGCCACAGTTACCTTGGCACTGAGACGGAAGGTCTCCTCTGCCCCTGGTGATGCTTTCTGAACACTTGGGCAGTTAAGGAGCGACAAGCGGTTTCCTTCCTGTGTGCCCCTTACCACCCGCAGCATCCCCTGGCACCTCCGCCCCGGCTGGCTGGCTCCTGGCCACCTATGGGGTCGAAGCTCACCATGGCTTCTGCACACCCACCTCCGAAAGGTGCTCAGGCTGAGGCCACTGACCCCACTTTCTGTCCTGTCCAGGAGCGCGTCGTGGGCTTCCACATCCTGGGGCCCAACGCCGGAGAAGTCACCCAGGGCTTCGCGGCCGCCCTCAAGTGCGGGCTGACCAAGAGGCAGCTGGACAGCACCATCGGGATCCACCCTGTCTGCGCAGAGGTAGGTGGCATGTCCTTCCTGGCCCCAGCTGGTAACTCATGTCCTGTTATTCGATGGTTAAAAGAAATAGGAAAGTGATCCCAGAAGCGCCTGCAGTCTTGGCCCCATGCTGTCTCCTCAGTGACCACCTGGGCTTCCTTCCGGCGGTCATCTGGGGACCCACAGGTGAGGCTGGAAGGTGACGCATCAGAGAGGCGGAGGAGACCGTCAAGCCTTGCTGCCAGCAGAGGGACGGGGACCCACGGTGCCCACGCGGAGAGGGGTGGGGAGAGCTGGCTGTGCACCTGCCAGAGTCCACAGTTTGCAGCTGGGCAGCAGATGTGTGGCAGCTGCTTGGGCTCCCCGTAACACCCCTGACGTAGCCTCGAGACTGAGCTCTGTCCTGGACAGCTATGTCAGCTTGGGCCGTGAGGGCGTCTCCGCCCCTTCCTCTGCCTCTGGGGATAAAATGCTTTCATGGCAGTGGATGGCTGGTAGGAAGCTGAGAGTTACAGGCCGCAGACCTGGGTGTGAGGAGGACGACCTTGGCTTTGGGGTGCATCGCTGCAGTTTCCAGATAGGCCCCAGGCTCGTCCCTGGGGTTGCTGGTCTGTGCCACAGGGCCACACCTCCTGCCCCAGGGCAAGTCCCACTGTGGCTCGGTCGCTGCGGGGCCTTGACTCCAGCTCCAGAGTTCAGGGGAAGTGAGGTCCAGTTTGGCAGAAGAGCAGCAAAATAAGTCAGACTTCACGGTGAATTCCAGACCAGCAGGGCTGGAGAGAGGAGCCGGGGCTTCCTGGCCGGGTTGGGCCGGGCCGGGCCGGGCTGGGGTGGGGCAGGCCAGGCGCCTGTTGGTGGCTTAGTGGGGCATGGGTCTCCAGAGACGCGTGCTAGCAGTGCCCTCCAGGCGGCGAGCTGCGGGGCTCCCACTGGCAGCAGAACAGCACGTACCGTCACGCCAGGTGCCGGAAGTGAAAGCACTGGGGACCCCAACGTGGAGAGTGGGGCTCTGAGACAGGAGGGCCTCTGTGCCCTGTGCCGTGTCCCGAGTTTCCCGTGGGCTTGCGTGAGCGTGGACCATGCCCAGGGCAGCTGATCTCATCTCCCCACGCTCACAAGTTCTTCACTGCAGACAGTCTGGGTTTCTTTTCCTGTCATCCAGATGGTCCTGTTCTCGCTGCTGCCAGAGCCCCTGTTTCTCCTGTCACCCACTTTATGAGGTCACCTAAGTGGTTCCCAGCACCCCTGTCTGCCTCTGACGGCTGAATCTGGCCTCTCTCCCCCCAGGTGTTCACCACGCTGTCAGTGACCAAGCGCTCCGGGGCCAGCGTCCTGCAGTCCGGCTGCTGAGGCTAAGCCCCGGTGTGGGTGCTGCCCCCGACTCCGAGCCACCTGCAGGTCCCTTGCCCGGGTCCAAGACGGAGGCACCATCGGTGCCCCGACCATGCCGGGCTCCTCGGATCCCGAGGGTAGGAGGCAGTGGCAGAAGGGGGCAGCGCTGCACCGGGGTTGCACAGACTGGGAGCTGGCGTGCGGCGGCACCGTAGGGTGCGTCCATGAGGTCACCAGCCTCAAGCCCGAGGGTGGGCGGTGACGGATCGCGCCGCGTGGCTCAGCTCAGCCTCTTCTCTGGTTTTCCCCGCTCGACCTCGAGCTGTCTAACGACGGTCGTGTTCGCCTTTTCCCCTGGGGCTTGAAATGCCAGTAGCGAAGACTCAGTCCACAGGCGGTTTCTGTCCAGGCGCAGGTCCGGCCCACGGGGAACCTGCCATGTCGCCGGGGACCGCGCCGTGACTGGCTGGCGGGTCCTGTGCTCCAGGCCTGCCAGGAAGGCCGCCTCGCCCAGCGGCACAGCCCGGGTCCAGCACTGCTCCAGCTGGACATGCGAGCCGCCGGTCCTCTGTGCGTCTTTCTCTTCTTTTCGGAGGCAGCCGTCTTCCTGCGCCAGCGCGTAAAGCCCTGAGAGGTCGGAAGGCAGCCGTCCGTGTCCTAAGTTATTGTTTCTGAACACAGGTGGATGTGAAGGATTTTTACTCAGAAGCAGGAGCTTTTGACCTTTTCTGTTGAATGGGCGACAGCGGTTGGCGGGGATTGGGCAGGGTGCACTGCTGGTGCTGCCCACACCTTCGGGTGGACACCTCTGTCCTCGCTGGGCCGGGGACTTCAGGCCCCTCTGCCACCTCTACCACCTGCGACACCAGTGGTGGCTTGAGTCCATTTCTGGGCCACCTCAGGGACCCCTGAGTCCACTGGTACCCTGTCCACCTGCTGCTGTGACGGAGGTGCAGGCAGGTAGCCTGGCAGGCGGCGGTGTTGATTCACTGCTGATTTGCAAGAGTGTTTGCCCGCCTGCTGGCGTCCAGCACAGAAAAGCGGGTGGCAGCCGATCACCCTGGGCTCCTCTGGGCCGGTGCTGTCCACGTGGAGGACCCTGCTTCACACACTGTCCTGTCCCCTCTGTCATCACCCACTGTACTGTGACTCCTGAAATTCCTTGTATTTTTTTATTACACATCTTTGAAAAAACCCAGGAACCATTAAAAGGCGTTCATACCCTCCTGTGTGCCTTCTTTCAGATTGGGGCTGGGCTCTTGGGGTCCTCGTGCTGACAGTGGATGGGGCGCTGGCAGCCCCAGTCTCTGGGGATCCAGGGCCGGGCATGCAGGTGCAGAGCACAGGGAAGGCTGTGCACCGCGCCCCCCAGGTCTCCCCAGCTGTGTTTCTGTCACCCCCCGTCTGAAGCTGCTCGGGGGCAGGAGGCCGGGTGCTGCACAGACACCCTCCCGGGTGCAGGGGCAGGTGCTGGGGAGCGGCCGTGCACCCCGCACATGTCTGAGCTCCAGCCCTGGCCGCCTACTCCCCCCATACCCATCCCCTCTGGGGGTGGCATGGGTGCCTAGTACCTCAGCTGCGCGGCCAGCCTCCCCCCGCCACTGTGCCCCCACCCCTGCGGGCCAGCGGGGCGGGCAGTGTGCTGGGGTCGGGCCCATGCAGGGCCTTCACACTGGGCCTCAGCCCCCCGCCTTTGTTGTTCAGTTTAAGACAGTTTTGGCCAAGCAGCTAAGATGCCCGGGCTAGGCTGGCACTTGGCTTTTTTATTTCCAATGAGATTTTCTTGGCACACTTTAGCCACACACAGCGAGCACGCTCCTCAGAGCATTTGTGCCTGTACAGGACGTCACTTGTGTGTTCCTCCGTGCCCCTACCCTCCCTCCAACACCTGTTCTCTCATTGTTTCCATGTTTTTTAACTTTTCCTTTCTCCCTGCCTTTGTTCCTATTCGAACATTTTTTTCCTATTTCACAGTACCTGTTAACACATTTTGATCCTTATTGACGCCTAAGGTTTCTCACACCAGAGAAACGCGTGTGTAATTTACTTCACTTGAGTGTGGACTCAGAGTGCATCCGTGCATTTCCTAGAGTTCTGTCGTGTAAAAGAACCACATCTATCCACTCACCAGCTGATGTGCAGTTGGGTTGTTTCCCAGGTTTAGCTGAAACTGTGCCGCCGTAAGCCAGCGCACATACATCTCTGTGGTGCGATGTTTTTGATTCTTTGGGAAGAGACCCAGAAGGGAAAAGCTGGGTCGCAGGGGACCTCCCGTCCTAGTTATTTGAGGAGTCTCCACGCTGCTTTCCAGTGGCTGCACTTCCAACGCTGAAGAAGGGCTCCTTTCTCCCCACAGCTCCTTTCTAGCTCCTTTCTCCCTCCAGCGGTTGTTGGTTGATTTCTTGATGATACGGGCTGATCCTCTTGCCCAGCCGCAGAGAGCGCTGGGATTACAGGTGTGCACCACCACACCCCGCTGTGGCCAGCGTTTTATTGCCGCGTTCCCCGCCCCAAGCCCTGGGGCATCGGAGGCCTGTTCGGCTCTCACCTGCTCGGTACCTCTGAATACTCTCTGAGCCTCTCCTGGCTCTCAGTGGCCAGCAGCCCAGGTTCTCTGCCCACGGGAGACCCGAGCTGTGCAGGGTGTGTCAGCTGCTCTGTGGGGACTGCAGACGGTGCCCCGGCAGCTGGTCCTGGTGTTTCTTTGGGAGGAGGTTGGCACCCGATTTGGTGACCCACCCCTGCTGGTGTAGCATAGGCCTTGATGGCCTGGACAGTCAGAGCAGGCAGGTGGGCTTCACTTTGGGAATTCGACACAGGCACGGACTGCCCACCCTAGTTCCCAGGCCTTTGAGGTTTTTGTTGTTTCCATTACTGGGAATCCAACCCAGGACCTTCACACTGAGCTACATCACCAGCCCTCTGGGTGTTTTGAGACAGGTCTTGCTAATTCTCCAAGTTGCACAGTCTGAGCTCAAACTTTGGACCTCCCTGCCTCAATCTCCCACAGGGGTGGGTTGCAGGCGGGCACCACTATGCCAGGCTAGGAGGCCTCTGAACCGGAAGTGCACTGGCTGCACTGGGCCTCCAAAGCCTTGCAGCTGGAGTGTGGACCTTGGCTGCGTGCTCTAGTACCTGGCGTCTTACAGAAAAGCCCCGAAGCACTCACTGCTGCTGGGGTAAACTGGTGTGGTTGCTTTGGAAGACATCTGGGGTGTGACTTGTCACCAGTCACTGCACCTGCTCAGATGTGCCTGTGTGGCCTGCAGGCCTGGCACTGCCCACCACACTGCTGGTAACACCCAGGTGAGGGTGCGCCCCCTGGTGTCCATGTCTGGGAACAGCGCTCCCCTTCTCCCTGCCGCTCCCACCACAAGCTTTGCGGGAACACGCACCTCAGAAGTGGGAGGCCCTGCATTCCAGGGGGAGGCCGAGCAGCTCAGTGCACAATTCCAGGAACGTGGGTTCCCACTCGGGTAACCATAAAGTCAGATCTTGGCTAACGGGGCAGCACAGGCAGAGACGAGGCGGATTCAAGACCTGGCCATGTGCAGCTCGACCTTGGAGCATGAAGACTCAGTGACACTGTCAAATAACTCAGGGTTTGGGTTGGGGTTGGGGTGACCTGGGGTGGGGAGGGCTTCTTCCACCAGGGCCCGATCCTCAGCGACGAGGACCTGAGCTCTTCTGCCAAGGAGAATGGCCGAGTTCACATGAGGAAGCCAGTGTGACAGCTTCTCCAGGAGAACCCACAGCACATCTCTTCCCCCAGTTCTCCTGTGCCACTGACAGCAGTCCTCAGGTGGCCTCCACGCCCAGCTCTGCCTGACACAGCCCAGCGGGGGGTCGCAGATGGACCCTTGGCCAAGCCACCACAGGCCTGAGGACGCAGCACTTTCAATCTCTGGCATCGGCTGTCTGAGTCTTCCTTCTTTGAAAATAGTTAATGATGTAAGAAAAAGTCTGGTTTACCACTCAGTGAGAAAGTGTACACTTGGGTTTCTTAGGACAGCAGTGCGGCCTGGACGATGCTGTGATGCTGCAGATGTGTCATTGTACATCTGTCCAGACCCTTGGCAGGCATAGCATCAGACATCCAAATGCAGACCAGGGACCCTGGTGGCAGTGGTGTCAGCATGGAGCTTGAGAGCAGCTCTACCGTGCCAGTAGCAGGTGCTGATGGTGAGGAGCCTGCGCTTGGGTGGGGACGGGAGTGTGGGGTTCTCTGCAAGGGGACCTGAGCGCAGCCAGAACCTCTGTCGCCCTGGATGCCAGCCCTTCCTGTGACCAGGCGCCAGCTGGCTCACAGGGACCACATGCCTGCACCCAAACACTTAAACCACTGACCCAGGAAAACACCAGCTCCTTAGAGGAGGACCAGTCACTATCGGTGGGTGGCTCCAGGCAGGGGTGATCAGCAGTGGGACATCAGATAAGACAGGGAGCTGGTGCAGGACATCTGTCACCATGCAACAGCAGCTTTACACCAGTGATGAACTAGATAAGAAGTCAGAATAGTTCAATCCACAGTAGCTTCCAAAAATAAAACACCCAGGGGTCAGCCTAGCCAAGGACGTGAAACACCTCTGCAGTGAAAATCCCAGCAAGCTGGAGAGAAATGGGAGGTGCAGAGAAACCACCTGCTCGTGTGTTGGAAGTGATCCTGTTAGAATGGCTACAGTGAAAAAGGCCATCTGCGGGTTGAGTCCAGTGGCCATCAGAATTCCAGTGGTCATCTCCACAGAACTACAAAAACCATCTTCAGTTTCAAAGTGCCCAGAGCAGCCAGGTCAGTCCTAAGCAAAGCCAGGCGTAGCACGCGCCTGTGACCCCAGCACTCAGGAGACTGAGGCAGGAGGGTCAGCACGAGCTCCAGGCCAACCTGGGGTCCGCACTGAGACCCTGGTTCAGGGAGAAAAAACCCTAAGCTAAAAGCAAGGCTGGAGACAGTACCCGACAGCCCGCTCTCACCCTGCACAAGACTTGGCTCAAAATGGAGCAAAGAGCGAGGTTTGAGGCCTGGAGCTTTGAAACTGGGGAAAACAGCCATAGGCCAGACCACGACTTCCGGGGTAGGGCCCAGTGCACAGGAAGTGATTCCAGGAGCGGCAGGGGGGACTGGAGCAGAGGGAAAGTTCCGGCACAGCCAGGGAACTGCCTGCAGGCAGAGGGAGGCTGAAGGGGGAGGAAATCTGCCAGCCGCCCTTCTGAGTGGATTAGTATAAAAAATCAAATAGCCCACCAGTATGAACTCAGATGGACCCACAGACACTTGGGAAGGGAAGAGGTGCAAATGGCTGTACCTGTGTGAAGAATCCACCCTTTTCAGCCTCGGGGTAACGCAGATGTGAGCACTGGGCCTTCAAGAGCCTCAAGACTATAAAGAGCCATAAACCCGTGCGAGGAGAGGAGGGGGTGCAGAGGGGGAATGGAGGGGAAACCCATCCAGACACGCTCCCCAGAAAGCTAAAGGCAGAACAGCTGTGCGCCCTTCTCCACTGCTGAGTTCAGCCAGGGAGTTCAAGCTGGGGAGACCCTGTTTATGTCAGTGCCACCCAAACAGCCTAGGTGCCCGTTGGCAGATAGATGGAAGAGGACCATGTAGGATGTGCACACAGCAGAGTGGCACTTGAGGGTCCCGAAGAACAGTTTTGTGATCACAGGAGAGCGGACAGAACTGGGGTTCATCGGGGCCGGGGGTTTAGCTCAGCCGTATGAGCACCTGCCTGCCTGGCAAGCACAAGGTCCTGAATTCGATCCCTTGTACCAAAAAAGTAATAATAAGCCAGACTCAAAAAGACAGGGTCACAGGGTTCCCCTAGCGTGTGGAATGGGGGTAAAAGAAAAGGGGGAAACTCCAGACTGAAACCCCTCGTTTGTAAAGTGAACAGGCACAGCCAAAACGGTGTTAGAAGTCAGTGGCATCCCTCCCTGTACATTGCTTCTAAGTGTCTCTGGCTGCAGCTGACCCTGCCCACTCACGGCCTTAAGCAGTAAAAATTCACTTCTCTCAGGTAAGGAGAAGCTGCGGGCCATTAGCAGGGATGCCAGGGCTTGGGGTCTGTGGCTTTGCAGGTCTGTCCCTCCTCACAGTCACAGGACGGCTGCACATGGGCCATTGCCTCCCTAGGAAGGGCTCATTGACAGCCATACAGCCATCCCAGCATTCCCTAGGCAATTTTTGCTTTTACCTCATTGGCTGGACCTGTGACCCATGACCTTGC